ATCGACGTGAAGCCAGAGTCAACCTTTGCGTTGCGCAGTTCTCAACGGCCACGTTGCGCAGTTTCGCCCGATTAGACACGTTCTCTCGCGCGAACATTCACACTCGCATGCTCGAGCCGTCTGCGTCTCCGCCCATACAGCGTGCGTTGAGGATCTCTCAACGTGCCGTTGCGAACTGCGCAACGCAGGGTTGACTCTGGTGACCCAACGTTAAAGGAAGTCCCGCCACTTTCAAACAGTGTGGTCCTTTAAAGTGGACTTCCTTTAACGTTGGGTCCCGCCACTTTCAAACAGTGTCGAGTCGCTGGTACATCGTTCGACTCGCTGGTGCATCGGTCGATTCGCTGGCGCAACGCTCGGATCCAGCGATCGCTCGATTCGCAAACTATGACATCGGCCTAAGGCTGGTGTCAGAGTCCGCGATCCGTCGCAGGTTTCGCGATTTCGCGCGATTCACGCGACGGGTCACGGAAATCACAAGTGCCCGATCAATACTGCAAGGTGTTCTCCAATCCCGCCGCCACTTCTGCTTGATAGTGATGGCTGAATGACGACTGCTCATGACACTCGCAGTAGTTATCGGTGCACTTCCAACTTCTGCGATCCGTCGCAGGTTTCGCGCAAATCGCGTAAATCGCTTGTCGCGCGAAACCTGCGACGGATCGCGGACTCTGACACCAGCCTAACACTGTTTCACTTTGCAGTCGCAAAAGACGCCAAGCCTGATATCCACCTAATCACTGGATCTTCAAAGTGTTAAAATTTAGATCTATGAATGCAGAATAACGCACGTTTCGAGCAAAGCCCCAATTACGACAACAAAAGTTCTACGATTAACACGTGCCGCGTGCTACACTATCGTTATCATTTCAGATTTTATGTTTAGCATTTCTTTTTTTTTTCAATACTTTTCACTTGGTTTCAACATAGCAGCAGTTGCTTGGGCCTTGGGCCAGCTCAAAACAACGGGGTAAGTACAGCTAGTGGATTGAAGGACGTGCGAGAACACGTTGATAGGGTGATGTGATGTTGTTTTCGCAATGCACACGTTGTCCTGGTTATATTCCTATTTCATTTCAGTTCATTTCCATCTCAACGGGAAACCGACGACGTTGGTCGGCCGCAGTCTAGTCCATTCGTAAGGGCGCACGCATAGTCGGTCGGACGACAGCAACGATCGTAACTGTCGCACAGCATTGGATGCGTATCGATCGTCGGACTTGCCTGAGTATTCGACGATTAGATGCAGTTAGACAGTCAGACAGTTGCGATCGTTGCTGTCGGACGACCGACTATGCGTGCGCCCTAACGATCGCACAGGCCGCGCCTGTCGGGGAGGCGACGCGGTGACGACGATCGATGATCGCATGTATCGCACAGTATTGGATGCGTATCGATGTCTGACGTGTACAAGGATTGGACGGTCGATACGTATCCAGTGCTGTACGATCGCCACGGTCATGCGACCGACAATGAGCACCGGGTGTTTGGTTCACTAGTACAGAAGGCTAACTTTTCGCATTCGCAGCGCGAGACATTTTTCGCTGCAGGAACTTCAGGTCCACCGCTAATCATGTGTGGACCTGGGGCTTCCCACAACGAAAAATACAATTCGCGCGTGCAAAACGCGTAAAAGTCGCTTTCTGTCCTAATGAACCACACCCCAAGGCTGCTGCCATACCCTGCGACTCTCTTGCAGTTCGATTGGGTTTGATGTGTATCGATCGTGTTGGCGCAAAATCGTATGACTGCACGTTTGATGCAAACAAGGATCCTCACTCGAACTGCAAGGGAGACTTAGGGATGATTGCGGCCTGACCCCATTAAACTCGTTGCTGCTCATACATACAGTAGCGGTCAAAAGTTTGGAAACTTTTTTATTTTTGATCTAGCGCGGCCGATACACAACGAAATTGTCCCAAATTTAGATATTCCATACAAAATCGAGTTCAGAATACGACGGGAAGAACAATTTCCAAAAACCTATAATCATATTTGAGAAATAAGATTTTTTTCAAGTAATGGCGCGTCAAAAGTTTGGAAACTTTTTGTTTCCCTTATCATTATGATTCCTACTCTTCAATGTTTACTTGTTTCTGTTAATTTTAGTTCAACCATTGAGCAATGTGTAATTTCAAAATGAATTCATATGCAAAGGAAGCAGTTTTTCCATGGGGGTCCTTTTTTAAACCCTACAATCCGGAATACGAAATTGAAACTGATTTCTTAGTAGTTCAGTCTCTACGGAAGCAATATTATCGGAATGTTTCTAGCGTTATTGGAGTCGAGTAAGCATAAGAAGAATGATCATTCACAAAAAAGTATCTCACAAGAAAGTTGGTCCTCTCAAATACTTCGAAAGGTGGTTGGCACGTCCCGTGCCCCCAACATTCCCAACTAAGAGACAACTTTTTCTGGTTTTTCCTAATCATATGAAAGTCCAAGTGCACGCCAACATCGGCCGCGACCTGGTGAATATTACGGATGATGTCCCAACAAGAAGCCGTTGTTGGGCTTCAAGGGCAGGATGGCCCAACTGGCTTCCGCACTCTAACGGCTAACATGAACCGGAGCCAAGAGGTGAAACTTTGTCCTCAGCGACGAATGAGATTTCTATCTTCCTAGAAATAATATAGTGGACCCTGTGAAGTGTTTTGTCAAATGGGAACCTCATTTTGAGTATGAGATTCCAACAGTCAGAAATAGTGGAAGTACTGTCATGGATGAACATGTGTCCGACCATTCGGCGATTCCACAGTTCTAGGTATCCAGCGAAATGTGGGTTGGGCTAAGTACAAGTATAGTCTGTAGAATACAATGCTTACCTTAGATAGTCAGAACTAGCCGGAAAAGATGGGTTTTCTATTACGGAAATAACCCGATGCAGGCCTACCTCCCCACTGCCGCCTTCCTCAACCCAGAAAAAGGAGCTGCTATGAAGCGACCAAGTCAAGATCTGAAGTCTAATTGAGTTCTACATCTCACGGAAAAAGTGGCATGTCGCTCTACCCACGTTCCAGTTAAGAATCCCACCAAACAATGTGCTTTAGTTCACAGTGTATGAGGTCCGACTTAAAAATCCTAAAATTATTTTATAATCAATACCATGTCAATAAAAACGACGCTAAGATAGAAATTCAAAGCTACTCATCAAATAACTAATTTATCATGTGGATTTGAGAGCTATTTTGCCGAATTCGCTTTAGAATTCGGAAGTTTCCAAACTTTTGACGCGCCATTTCCTATAAAAATTCGTATTTTTCAAATGCGATTTCAGTTTTCAAAAAATCATGTTACCCATCGTAATCTACACTAGATTCTGAATATAATATGTGAATTCGGGGCAATTTCATTGTCTATTGGCTACGCTAGATCAAAAATAAAAAGTTTCCAAACTTTTGACCGCTACTGTATGTACGTACCCTCGCAGTGTAGTTGTATACCATAGTGTCAAAGGGGCAAAGGGCGGTCTGTTTTGTAGAAGTAGCCTTATGAGCCTCTGGTCTGCTTCATTTTATTGTGAACGTTTTTGTTGCACATCGGTGGAGTTTGAAGTGCTTGAAAACAATCTAGCAATTTTCAGGGTGCTAAATGTCCACCTCGCGTACTGCTACGCGCAAGTGTGATCTGCAGGACGTAACGGAATGTCCAATATGTTGCTTGCGATTCGAGCGGCCACTTCAACTCAGTTGTGGTCACTCATTTTGTGGCAATTGTGTGGATAGACTGGTAGGTGGTACAATCTTCAATTGCTAATATTATTTTATTGCTCGTGAGGTGTACACTATAGCGCATTCAGCAGGCAGTACACATAGAGCACTAGCGCATAAATAAATCTTAAGAAACTTCGAGAACGCTTGATGTTTGTTAAGGACTTTCACGAGAATTTTCAGATCTATTCAGTATTAGCACCAGGCATAGGCAGTGTGCTTGGAAGCAGTGTACTGAATTTTGTAAAGATGATTAATCTTTCTTTCATGAAGGAGACCATCGACGATGGTTTGTAGAGGGAGGGTCGGAAACGAAGAGGGAAGTTCATGAGAGCAGGGAAGCACGGGAGCGCATATAGATCAGTTGAGCGAGTGCAATGGATATCTGCTCACCGATGTTCGTGCTTTTATTCAATTAACTGCAAAAAAGGTTCTATGGTGACAGACTTGGTCTGCTTAAGAGTGCTAGAATTGATATGCTTCCATTGTCATAATTTATAATGTTTAAAGCATTCGGTAGCCTCAGCTTTTTTAAGCCTTTTTTTAAATACTGAGTGGAACTTTATTGGAAGAAGCTACTCAGTCTTAATGTCCTCAACTTCTGATGCTTTCGAATTTTGATCGCTTCTGTATCTTAGCACTTGAAACATTGATCCAAATTTATCTTAATTTCCTTTCGCACAACTTTTGTCATGGCAACCAGGGATAATACATGTGCTTGGAGTCTTTTAGTCACGTTCTTGTACGCGCCACGCCACGCTCGCGACTCCGATTTGGACTGGCGGAGATTCATATATTCATATTCATATAGTGGTTTACTGACGCAAGTCGACGTGCTTTAAAATTCTCTTTTACTTATTCTTGCGATGATGGCCACGAATAAAGAAAAATTTTCCGCGTTGTAGTAGTATCTTCTTTTCTCATCACATGTTCGAAATTCTGCAGCGCTATCCCAGCTCTACACCTTTCACGCTGAGGTCATCGCTTATAACCCTCTTCTGTGTGTCAACCACGATCTCTTTCCCTCCCCTTCCTAAATTGCACAGGATTGGCTGACCCCTGCTTGCTACTCATTTATCTGGTCCTAAGTGTGACTTACACTATTGTACCATGAGCACCCACTGGCTATGACCATCTTACACCTAGCGTGCATGTCATACATCTGTAGTGGAAATACTTTTCTGTTAACATCACTGAAGTTGACTACTGGAAATCACAGTGGTTCCTTCTTATGAAGATAGGATGGGGATTTTTTAGACTGGGTTTGAGTCATTTTCGTGTCGTTTTTCTACCACTGTTGGGCTCCTAGAGTACCACTTGTAATGGAGCTCGTCTTGAGTGAAGTTGACGTGAGGACAAGCCTAGAAAAAGCAAGAAATTGTGATTTCATTCCATTAGCAGACGCGATTTTATCTTTTTTAACCATTTATCTCAATTTTTACCCATATTTTTTTAGATTGCTGATGCTCGTGGCCCTGGTAACAGAAATGACAATTATTTGGAAGCAGTGCGAGGATTAGCTGCAAACATTGATCAAGGAGTAAATCCGCCACATTTTGTATGTGATATGTGAACATATTCTAGCATTTTTGTGTAATTCATTTGATTATATTTGCACGCATTCAGAATCGCATGGATCAAGACCTGTGGTGGCCTTTGAACCTGAATCGACAGCAAATGATGCCACCGCCTCCTCCTGGCTTAGGAGGTATTCCTCATCCACCACGATATATTCTTCGTAATTTCAATGACGAGGTGTGGTCACTTTTGTTTTTTGTGCATAATTTATTGGAATTTAGTATTAGTGGATTCCCCAAATCAAGATCTGTTGGGAAATATGGCAAACAAGCTCTGGCAGGAAAACTAAAAGTGTTTGAATCAAAAGTTCTGCCTAATTATTCCCACAGAATGTTTCGGAACTGTCTCCTCATGTCTGCTTCTGCACAATCCTCTCAAGAGTTGCCTCATCATAAACAGTTAACTTCGCTTCCAACCTTTTTTCTCAACAAATGAACAGCGTAATTAGGGAAGGTATGGTGTGTTGAATTGTCTCTTTATTGACATTGTAGTGCTTCTCTTTTTTCTAATAACTACGCCACCAGGAGAGAGCTAAGAATACGAAAAAAGCTACGCCTCACCGTTCTGCTCTTGCTCTAGGTGCCAGCGAACACAGCAGCCTGGAAGTTCCCGACGACAATTCGACCCTTGGCTTCGTTATGTCTCTCTAAATAGAACCAAAAAGCATCTTAGGGATATTTCAAATTTATTTAAGTATCTTATTCTGTATGCACTGGGTGACTGCCCATCGCACTCCCGCGGCCATTCTAGAAGACTTGATGAAATGAGTGACCATGACACACGACACAAAACAGTTGTAACACAGTGGACCCACGCCACCAAATGGCATTAGTTCGCAGTGCAACATTTGCTTGTCGAGAATATCTTCGCAAAGTGGGCAGTGAAAGAACTATCATTACAAAAATGATTGTTGAGTCCGTGGATGACTCACAAATGGAAGATGAGTCATGGCTTTTTGGGAGCCAAATTCCTCTACTTTATCTCTGAAGCTTCCTGGAGAAGAGATGGCCAGACATCAACCTGGCGGGCCGTAGTAGAGCGTAGGCATGCTGCAACCATCATTCCAACTGTGAGTTACAGACAAGTCTGAAAACAGCCTAGGCGGCAATTTTCCGGAGATCATGGCGCCCGGTTAACGTGGAATCATCCTTAGCGCCTAGGGTTGCGCTTGATGCCGTGCAGCGCAGCATACATATGAAACCATATGGAGCACTGGTTGCTGTACGCTGTAAAGATAACTACTGTATAGTGTTCCGCAAGTGTTCGATCCAAATTGCGCGTTTCCCCACACGTATCCCCACTCCAACTCTATTGCTTAGCATCTATTGGGCCGCCTGATAGAACAAACAAAGTGACACGCATATTCAAACCTGTTATGGCTGACCAGACCTCTACGACATTTACTTCCAGCGTCACAATGTGCAAGACAAATAAACCAAGTCCAAAAGGATAAACACGGCATGACGGAAATGAAAAGCCACGTACAATGTGATTTGTCTGAAAGAAGGAATTTCATCAGAAAGAGAGAAAAATTTGGGAGAGGAGAAGGGAAGATTTCATTGAGGAAAAGAGAGGAACGTTTTGGAGCAGCAGCACCCTAGGTATTCAAAATCACGACAAACATGTTCTTCTACTATAATAGGTCAGAAGAATGAAAAACGTGAGAAAAGGAGAAAAAGCACAAAGGAAAGATCAACAGGAACAGGTCTTTTCAGAATTCAACAATAGTAGAAAAGAGAACCTAACAACTTAGGATGAACATGTAGGAACGAATAAAAATTTGTTGAATACTAACCGCTTGAGTAGATCGTGGTGCTGAATGACTACTCATTCCGCTGGGATTCGAATGCAGCCAAATCTTGCGCAAACAGGCTGTCCTTCATTATGATCATCACCCGCAAGGAATCCATTACGACGCTCCTCGCGAAGTCGCTTAAACATAAACGAAAAATAAATAATTTATTTATCTATTTAAAAAAATAAATGAAAAATAAATAATGAGCGTGTAGACGCTAAACGACAGCTTTGATGTGAAGAATCAAGCATTCAATCTTCATTTGAATACAGGGGGACATAAGTGGAAACTCCGGACTTGGCAGTGACATGCAAGGAGTAGGTAATAATGATCTGTTTCATCCTAGGCGATATCTGCCAACCATGAGACGGATACAAACCCTTCTTCTGTCACAGCTACAGAGCAGCTAGTCCAAGATTAGCCCTGGCTAATGTCAGACTTGGCGAGCGTTGCACCAGCTAATCGAGGTGTCTACCAGAGGATCGAACTATGTGCCAGTGGATCGAGCTATGGACCATCGACTCAGCACTGTCTGGAAGTGGAAGTCCAGTCACTTCCAAACAGTGTGTCTTTTAGAGTGAACCGCCTTGCCGGTCCGCGACGCGTATGGATTTCGCGAAAGTGCTAGGACGATCTGCCTTAGGTGAGTTCGATGTCCCTTGCCTGAGTGGCCAGTCCTACTAGGAAACGTTGTTGATCTTGCCCGCGGCCAACAATAATATGATGAGCGAATGCTGAGAACACAGAAAAGGAGTTCCTACACTGTACGTCGCGCGCTCACGAGTCCGTCCTCATTAGCCCTTTGTCAGCGAACAGCTAACTTCATTGTGTCGTACGTTCTTAGTTCGAGGTCTTTTGATAAACGTTTTAGACTTGAGCGTACACTGGTGCCAAGGCCGCTGTTGCCGCACCTCCGACGTTCCAAGCCTCGCACACGTTCTGAATGGAGATCCACTGTTATGAGCTGCTAAAAGGCAATAGCATTACAATCCAATCCAAATAAAATGGAACTGTGAACTTGCCTGGTAGTGGTAGTGGAAAGCGAAAAGTATCAACGTAAGAGAACGTTAAACACACTTTGCTATAGATCGCCGCTCCTCTCCAATATCGGGTCTGTGTGGGCGAAGCGGAGTGGAAGCTCCGGAGCAACTGCCATCATTTAGGTCTGAGCTGTTCTACAACAGGCAACAATCAACTTTCATATGGGAGAAAAATTTGCTCCTACCAACCGAATCTGTTCGCGAGTTCAACTCGTCCTCAAAGATGCCTTCACGAATGAACGTTTGCGTCGCGTGCACAAAACTTTCCACCCTCAGTGTAGCCTTATTGTGGAAATCTTCACAAATTCCTTTCATGAGACGAGGCAGCTTCAAATAACAAACTATATTTAGAACAAGTCAGCAATGCACAATATATAATTCTCCAACACGAGAAAATATTCACCATCTCCAGTTTTTCACTGAGGGCTCTAGCTGTTGCAACTTTCTTGTCGAGTTCATCGTTGCTCGAAAGAATTTCCAGTTGGAGGCCATTCGCTATAGTTTCAAATTCCTCTAGCAAACATTGCACTTTCTGAAAAAGCAGTAAATCAGAATAAAATCAAAATCGAAATCGTATCCCTTTGTAGACCTACCGTGTGAATCAATTCTCTATATTGGTCTCTGTCAAGGAAGCAATTTCGTTATATGCTAGGTCAACCATAATGGAATCCAAGACCCAGTTGCCTCTGATACAACGTCTCTGGCGATCTGAACAAGGAAACTAGGTGAAGCCAACAACACACAAATGAAAAAGGCCGAAATGAGAGAATGTCTTTGTGTGAAGACATTCTCTCATTTCGGCCTTTTCTGTGAAGTCTTCGAAGGATGCGAATTTGTGGTTTAACCCATAACGGACGGCCAGTGTATTTTTGCGTGCGCCACCATGTGGCGCACGCCGCCACCCAGGGTAGGGTTTATGTAGGCTTATGTGAACAGCAGGGGTAAGACGGGGCTAAAGTAGGTGTCGGAGTCTCATCATCCGAAAAAAAAGAGATTTCCGTTGACGACAAGTTCGTAGCCCGCCTTTCCGCTCTAAAACTAGGGTGCAAAGAATGAATGGAAGCTGTAGGTGACATTATCGAAAAATGCGAAACAACAACCCCGAGCAAGGATGTGGCTATATTTAGGGGAAGGGGTCTCGGGACGTGCGAACCATGGGTAAGCCACCCATCAAATAGTAAACTTATGTAAATTAAGACAAAATGTATGTAAAATTTATTGTAGGTTTGTCAAAAATCCAGCCGTCCAGGTCCTGGGAAGATATGTTATTCCACATTGCTGAGAGTTATATGGGTATATTAACCCATATACGACGGCGGCGCCGCACAACAAGGTGGCGCACGATTATTTCTCTTGTTTTGGAATGTTTCTAGCAATCTTAATATACCCCGTATATACTCTCAGCAATGTGGAATAACATATCTTCCCAGGACCTGGACGACTGGATTTTTGACAAACCTACAATAAATTTTACATACATTTTGTCTTAATTTACATAAGTTTACTATTTGATGGGTGGCTTACCCATGGTTCGCACGTCCCGAGACCCCTTCCCCTAAATATAGCCACATCCTTGCTCGGGGTTGTTGTTTCGCATTTTTCGATAATGTCACCTACAGCTTCCATTCATTCTTTGCACCCTAGTTTTAGAGCGGAAAGGCGGGTTACGAACTTGTCGTCAACGGAAATCTCTTCTTTTGGATGATGAGACACGGACACCTACTTTAGCCCCGTCTTAACCCTGCTGTTCATAACACTCCGGGCGGTGTACCTAGCACAAACGCCCTACCCTGTGCGGCGTGTCGCCGACAGGTGGCGCACGCGAAAATATTTAACACTCCCGTCCGGTCCGTTATGGGTAAGATTGCTAGAAACGTTCTAAAAACACAAAGAAATAGTCGTTGCGCCACTTGTGGCGCATCGGCCGCTCCGTTATGGGTTAACACGTCGATACACCCTCAATTGATCAATTCACCCATCAAAAAAGAGACAATCCTTCTGGTCCGTTTTTCTAGTGAACCTTCAAAGCAGCAATGCACTTGGACGCGCCATATAGAATTTACCTGAGCTGCAGTTTGCGTGTGAGAGGGGTTTAACACAGTCAGAGTTAAAGCCTTTCAAACAGCCTATAGTCGACTTGCTCAAGGAAATTATGCAGGTGCACTAGGGTAAGCAACAAACATAGGCCTCCTTGAGCTCGTCGGCGACGCGCATGACTTCATATTTGATTATGGTCGAGAAAACAGGCAAAGGCTCTTCTGCATATGGAATCAGTATTCAGGAATATTCAACGATTTACGATTTACACCTTCACCTGTGCGATATAAATTCAGCCAAAGTGGGTCAATGGCAAGGTAACTTTTTTCCACCCTCCTCCCTTGAACAGCGCCGAAACGACGTCGCCATGGAGACATAGAGTACTGGAAACGTTCCTTTTTATTATAAGCCTATGAGAACAAATATCCCGGCGCCACTCGCTTTTGGATGAAACGTCAGCGCTTTAGATTAGCTGTCCAGGAAAGTTTATGCGTTTTTTGTAGCTCACTTTCGAAACGGTTCTATTCTGGTACTTTCAAGAAACTGCCAACACTGTTGATATATAGCTAGACCAGGGCGTTCCTCGCTCTATCCAAATCTCAGTGTTTTTTCAACACTGAACACACTTCCCATTTTTGGAGTCTTGAATACAACATATACTCAATAGCCTGCTTTGCACTACTTTCTTGTTTCCCCTCAAACTTGCTCGGAAATAATCGCAAGCAAGTTGCAACATAACTAAAAATAAGCATTTGGTTCGTAGTTCCACTCAAAAAATACGCTGTGCAGTCGCAATACGAATAATGCCTTTCTCGGTGATGTAGAAAGCTTTGAAGGAGATCAGTGATATCGGAGACTGATAAAGATCAGGAGGGTTTTGACAAACCAGATCTGCATGAAACTGTTGAACAGGCTGCTTTTGAATCGAGCAACCGACATAAGATCCACAGCAGGCGATGAGCCCTGAATGCCCAAAGAATGGCAATCGGGCCCCGGTGCGCAAGTTATTACGCCACCCACTGTTGAACGACCCCATCTCGGACTTTCGAATTGAACTAGCTGAGCTACGAAATTGTGCTGCAAATATTTCACAAAGTAGACCTATTGCCTACCAACTGTCACTTTTCCAACCATTTGTTAGGTCTACTAAGAGAGACTGCGCACTGAAACCCAACACGATGGTGAACCACATCCACCGAGTTCCTAGCTCACAGAACTTCAGTACTTCCATCAGCTAAACTCATTTCTTGTAGGAGAAGGTATGGGGATTGTAATAATTTTAATTTCGAGCAAAGAAGCCTTGTTTAAATTGAGAAATACGTTTTTGAATTAGAGGGTCAACGGCGGAAACTTTCTGGACAACCCAATATAAGATAGGTAGCACAATGCATTAAATTACTATCCCTATTTCACACAACAATTCAGTATTCCTTAAAGAGGCAGAACAAAATAAGAAAAGTGCAAATTCTAACTCACCGTTACATCCTGCATAGTCACAAACCGTTTCTCTTCAATATCATGACCGTTGTGGTTCCGAAGACAACACATCGAACAAAGCTGACGCTAAAATGATACGTGTGGTGATTACTTAAATCTTGAGGCTGCCTCTGCTATTTAAACATTTTATAAAAAAGTTATAAAACGATTGGAATTTTTTAAGACTCACCACAGTTTCACCGGGGCATGTGCGACACAACAGATATACGCCTTTGCTGATGACATCGTCGCACGCTAAGCATTTCCGCAATGGACTACCATCTGCGCTACACTGATCATTCGATTGCTGATTGCTGACTTCGGTTACATGTGATAAGAGTTCTGAAATAGACTAAACGTAAAACACTTGATGACACTGTAAACCTAACGAACTTTACTCCAAAAGATTCCAAAAAATTTTTTTGAACTTCTGCAGCAGATTGTCTGAGCCTCACGGAGTTCTGAACCCTCGGTTCGAAATGGAAAAAGAAGAGCTCTTAAACAGAAAAATCCTCACAAATCTCAAACAAGTGTGCACTCGTACCTTGTAGGCGATAGTTGATTGGAAGGCCTTCAGGTGGCACTCTAGTTGGCTGGCGGCACTCTGGACATTTTATGATAATCTCGGCCGCTCCATTTGCACCCAGTGGTCGACGTGGGAAGAAGGGCGGCTGAAAACGTGACTCACTTCAACAACATGAAGTTTTGTTTGCTTCACTGGTACCGTGACAAACGGAAAAACTGCTTTCCAA